GGAAAGGATTAAAAATAAGCATGTTTAGTCTTGAGAAAAGAAGGCTGTGGAGGACCTGAAAAGACTTCAGATACGTTAAGGGTTGTTATTAAGAGGACAGTGACCAATTGTTCTCCATGTCCACTGCAGGTAGGACAAGTAGTAATCAGCAGCACTCACCTGGGATGTGGGAGACCCAGGTTCAATTCCTCTTTCTGGATTTGAACAGGGGTTTCCTACCTCTGAGCTGGGAGTTGGGCTGGTTCCTGTCCATGGATTGTTAAGATGAGAGAGGGGTGTGCTGGCTGGCTTAGGCAGTCCCTGCCTAGCTTGCTGGCTTGTGTGGATCGCATTCTTCAATGCTCTGCCCATTCATTCTAGAGGGAGCCTAGCTGCCTAACTCGTTCCTTTGATAGTCTACATTCTGAAGTTAGGTGCTGTGGTGCTTGACGTTGCAATGCCTAAGTCTCTTTGTGGATCCTACGCATGGAGAGGCGTCAGGAGAGGAGAGGTCAGTGCCAAACTTGAACATGACTCTCTGACTCTTAGAGAATTAGGTAAGGAGGGGGAGAAAAGGGCAAACAAAATGAGTTGAAGGAATAAAGTAAAGCAAAATAAAAATAAATTAACCATAAACATTGGAGCCAACAAAAATAGCTGGGTCCTAGCCAGGGCTTACTGCCATAGCTCTCCTTCTCAATAAAAACATCTGTCTGAGCTCTCCAGTATTTATAGTTCTCATTTAATGCAGCAGGGACTGAAGGGAGGGACCTGGCAAAGGAAGATTTAGCTTCCTGTTTACCCCATTCCTCATTTTCAAAAATGCATATTAATTGGCTGTTAAATGGGTGCACTCAAGAAAGTGGGCCCAAATGGGTGTCCTTGTCTCATTTGCCACAGAACCTCGACATGCCCAGCTGCCTCTCCGATGATTCTGCTGTCTCCGTTCCTGGCCAGCCTTGTGCTCAGAAGTTTGCAAAACGGTGCTCTTTGCATCCTTTCTGACCGGAGTTACCATTTTTCAGCCACTAAGAGTGTGTTTGCTGGGGAATAAAGATGAAATCAGCCTCTGAGGATTTAGTGTGAGTTTAGCAGCACTAATTCTTGTTGCATGTGGTTCCATATGAAGTCAGTGGATAAATATTTTCTGTTACACAATGCTGCCATGCTTTTGAGAGAAGGATTATATTAGATATATCTGTGAAGATAAAAGGAGCGAGAAACCAAAACCTTTTTCCAGTGAAGAGCAGGCCTTTTTCCAGCGCCCTGTCAAATTCCTCTCTTGTGTATAGAAAAAGGCAAGAGCTCACTTGTTGACATCATTCAGTAATTCCCAGGTGGTTCTGTGGTGCAGAGCCTGTAGGACAGTGAAGTGACTTCATTCAACAAATGTATTTCACTCAAGTGGTGTGTGATGACAGTTGGAAAAGCAACTATAACAATGCCATCAGGGGGTTTCATGATTCAGTTATTCCAGATCAAATTTGCTCAGATGACAGATTCTCTTATTGACCGCATTGCAAGCTCTACCTAAACCTGAAAATCCAGCCGTGCTTTCTGCCCATGACATCAGCACCAGCAATAAAGATTGTGTGGTTGGAAATGAGCTAATTCTGGTTATGATGTACGAGGCAGAAGATAATCCTCCTTCTCATATTCTTCTGCAGCCCTACAGTTACTAACAGGTCTTTTGATGAAATTCACCCTTATGTACCACTTAAACCCTTAAATGATACATAGGTCTTGAACTCCACGGGAGTGAATTTCATCTACATTGAGATAATCACTGCTTTAGAATATGGCAGCATTCATGTGGAAAATGTCTTGTTACCATAGAACTATCGAGATGTTAACAAATGGGAATTTGTCTAAACAACATTCCTTTTGAAATAAAGGAGAAGGTCATGGTTTAAATGTTTATATGTGGAAAATGTAGGGTGTTTCCTCTCTTAGAGTCATGGATAAACCCTGTATTTCTCATGCAGCCTCAGGTGTTATTTTTGCTTTTTGTTCTTTTCCTATGCTATCATCTGTGGTGCTTTTTAAAAATTCTGTTCTATTATAACCCAGGCTGGAACTCTAAACCTTTGGAGTTAGAGTTATTTGCCTCTGGATTACTGCATGAGTTAAAAAAGAAATGTATTCCCCTGATCATCGCAGGGCAAGAACATCTTTCAAACAAGAATCTTAGTCTATGTAGCTCAACCCTACGTTTAGTTGGATGTCCACATTTTTACATGTAATTTTCCATAAAAAATAAATGGGTTTTAACTAAGAGAATAAAATATTTCATGAAAGCCCGTGCTCCATGGGTTTTCCCATCCCTTGTTTGAACTTGTTCTGCATCACAGTGTGATCATGTTGCATCATAAAGTTATTACAAAAACAAATTGTCTCTGAAAAGATAAATTTTCAAAGGTAGCAACCCTATTTGGGGTTATGGAGTGTCATATAAAAACATTAGAGAATCAAGCCCCACTTAAATAAACCAGAGCCTACAGTGTGGTTTCTAATTCATTTCCAGCTGCATGTCAAAGTATTGGTTTTGATTTTTCAGTGTTGGGCCCTGTCTAGGTATTTGTATGGCTGCTGGGTGAGTGCATCACAGACATTATAATAATAATTAATGGAGATATCCTATCTCCTAGAAGTGGAAGGGACCTTGAAAGGTCATTGAGTCCAGCCCCCTGCCTTCACTAGCAGGACCAAGTACTGATTTTGCCCCAGATCCCCAAGTAGCCCCCTCAAGGATTGAACTCACAACCCTGGGCTTAGCAAGCCAATGCTCAAACCACTGAGCTATCCCTCCCCCCAATAAATTAATAAATGCACCTTGTCAACATCCCTGTGAAATCCCCAGTTTGTCAGTGGGGAATTGAGGCACAGAGCATTTAAGGGTCAGCTTTTCAAGTACTCAGCGCCCAGATCTGGGATCAAACTTTCAACAGCTCGGCTCCCGTTTAGGCGTCTCAGTAAGGGCTAGATTTTCAAAACCATTCAGCACCCCAAAGCTCCCCTTTGGCCAGATTTTCAACAGAGTTCAGTACCCAATGTGCACAACATAACATGCTGATCCCTTTGGAAAATCTGGTCCTAAGTGACTTCCCCATGGTTGTCACAGTGAGTCTGTGGCAAACCTGAGACTCGAACCCAGACCATTGCCTTAAATAGAACATCATTCTGTTTGACCATGCAATGCAAAAGTGGCAGGGAAGCTCTAGTCCCTAAATGTGTATGTATATAGGCAGGGCCTGGGTGTTTTCAACAAGTGGCCCCTATCTCTGTAATTCCTTCCTTCCTTTGAGTCAACATAGTCCAACTTGGTTGCCCTTCAGGCCAGACTGTGTGTGAATTCTGATTACCCAGCTTTTCTCTGAGGCTTTGTCTTGACAAGGAAAAGTGGTTGAGTTTAGACCAGGCTTAGCTAACGTGCTGGCTAAGCACACCCTAAACTCAACCAATTTTCCTAGTCAACATAAAGCCTCGGGGAGTTGTGGTTGATGGGAGTGTTGTTTCATTTGTATTAGTTAAAAGGATGCTGTGAACTTTAATTTGCCCCTGATATATATGTTGTAAAGAGACAGTTTTATAACCCCTAAGACTGATGGAAACATCTGTATAATGAAAAAACAAACAAACACCAGAACCAGTCATTTTTGAACAAATATTTTTCTGCTGTGTATGAGCCCCAAGCAGGGCACCTCTGAACAACTGGAAGTGAAATTGATTATAAACAAAAGTGAAATTGACTTCACTGATTTCTAGCATTTAAGCTGAGTGAAAGGCAAAGAATAAACACAGTACATCAGTTATGAAAGTAAGGGATGATCAGGTTGTTTTCACTTCTAACATTCTAACGTGTCTTTAATAACATAGGTAAAAAATGTGTTTCTTTACAACATATCAATGTTAAGATAGCAGCAGTTTCCCCTTAATATGGACTTGGCTGATGTTTAGGTCAAGAACTATAAAAAGACTTAGGCACCTAACTCCTATGCTAGGTGGGTGGACAAGGTCTCCCTTATAACATGCTTCTTTAGAATGTGGGAAAACCTAGTTAAATTCCCTGCTTTGACTGATATGAAGAAAGGATTTGAATTTGGGTTTCACTCTCTCAGGTGCATGCCCCTTAACCACTGGACTGTAGGATAGTTTGATGGGGGGGCTTTCATAGATTCTAAGGCCAGAAGGTACCAGTGTGATCTAGTCTGACCTGCAGGACTTCACCAAAATAATTAATAGAGCGTATCTTTTAGAAAAACAGCCTATCTCAATCTCTCCTGTTGTCACTGTTCCACTGCATATAAATAGTTAAGTATACTTCGGGCAAGACAGAGTGAGTAAGAATGCTCTTTAGTCCAGTGGTTAGGGCATTCACTAGAGAGGTGGGAAACCCTCTCCGCTCATCTCTGCCTTTGCTTTTTTACTGACAGAAACACAAAGAACAGTATCGGTGCAATATATTAAATGGTACAAGAATTGGCTCCTTAAGGGGAAGCCAGGCAGAAAGAACCACAAGTAACAGAGGCTAGCTGAGCAATGTAACATCTTGAGCAGACCAGAATATGTGTCTTGTTAATTAGTATTGTCAATGTACTTAAAGGGAATTGATGATGCCTCTCTACAAATACTAGCTTTCTTGTTATAGTTAATGGCATCACAGGGATAATTAATGGCAATTAGTTATCCAATACTAGTATTACACCTATTGCATCATGCTCATTAATGGTTGTTGTTTGATGTGGGTGCTTGTAAGCGCTTGGCCCTGCCCACAGCTGACTGTAGTCCATGCAATGCACCCCCTGCACGACACGCACACAGCACCCCTGGAGTGGGCCAGCACGGCTTTGCAGGGTACATAGGCACTGCCTAGCAGGCTGCCACTCCTGGGAGGTGCTTAGCCCTTCACTGTGGCCTACCTTACCAAAATGGCCGCTGCGCGCGGCCAGTTTCAGGGCGCAGCCTCGCTTCCGCGGCCCCACCTCCCACAGCGATTGGCCGGATGGGTTGGAGGGCGCGCGCCGATTGGCTGAATGGAGGGGGACGGAAGTCGGGCCGGGGGCGGCTGCCCGGCGGGGGATGTGGTGGAGAGCAGGGATGGCAGCGGGCGAAGGGCTGGGCCGGGCGCTCCGGGCGGTAACGGAGCGGATGCAGCAGGCGGTGGCCAGGCGGCCCCAGGTGAGAGGGGCGGGGCCCCGCTTGAAGCACACCCCTACTCGCTGGGCCCCCAGCACGGGGCGGCAGGGCCTCTCCCCCCAGCCCCCCGCCCTGCTGGGGCCCCCTAACATTGGGGAACAAGCCGCCTCACCCCAGCGGGCCCCTCAGCCCCCCGCCCTATGGGCCCCCCCAGCACCGGGGGGGCAGGGCCTCTCCCCCCCCGCTGGGGCCCCC